GAAGAAACAAACCACCGTGTCCCGATCTTCAGCAGAGGCCGAATACCGTGCTATGGCTAATGCATGTGCAGAAGTACGGTGGATTCGTGGTCTTCTTGGGGCACTCGGCGTTACTCCACCGACGACACCTCGTCTGTTTTGCGATAATAAGTCCGCTCTGTTTATTGCTGCTAATCCTGTCTTCCATGAGCGCATGAAACACATCGATATCGATTGTCATATTGTCCGAGAATGTGTTCAGCGCGGTGAGCTCGCCACAGCATATGTTCCAACTCGCTTACAGATTGCTGATTTATTTACTAAAGCCTTGAACAGACCACTCTTTGCGTTCTTACTATCCAAGTTGGGCATTTGTGATCTCCATGCTCCAACTTGAGGGGGAGTGTTAGCATATATTTGTTTATTTATTAATTTCCTTGTATGTATTTGTTTCCTTGTAAGTAATCCTTACCATATTTGTATTAGGAAACTTGCTTGTATATATACCTTGTGAATACTCAATGGAAATCAATTCAGTCTTTCACAAATTTCTACACCTACGGAGTATATACCCCCAAGAAGTGCCAAATGGGTGAGACCCAAGTTCGGACTATGCTAAGCATAGGGCAAGTAGCTACTGCAAGCTCCATTTTTTGCTACCAATCTGTGATCAAAGTTCAATTTATCCCTTCTCAGTGATTATCTGGCCGGGTCTTGGGATGGAGCTCATCCTGTTTTTACGGAGTATATACCTTGTCGCATGATATTGAGTTCCTAATCTTTTTAACTTTTATTTAGATTTATTTGTTTACAATTTTTCCAAATTTCATATTCTTATTAATAGGCATATATTTCAAATATTATTTTTCAGATATTTTGTTTCAGTTTTTTTCTTTCAAACTTTCTGATTTTATCTTCAATCCTAAAAAATAATTTTGTATCTTCTGTTACGGTACATTTAGAAGTTATTTAGTAATTTTTTGCATCCTGATTCTTCAATGTTCAATTCATTTTAATGTCGTTAACGTTTCATTCCTAAGCCGTTGAAAGGTTTGATTTTTTTTTTTTTGCATTGTTTTTTTTAGAGCTAATGGTGTTCATTTTGTTACTTAAAATTTAGATCAGTTAATATATTTTTCAGTTCTAAAAAATGATTTTGTATAATTAAATTATTAATTTTAATTTTCATGTTTTTTGTCTAGAAGTGAATTGACTTTTTTTGGAACTTCAATTCATTCTTAAAAAAAATTGTTTCGTTTATTACGACTATTTTAGATTTTTAAATTCTGATTTATAAACTGATTCTCAAATCACAAGTAAATCATTTCTTGTAGAAAAAATAAATCGTTTCTTATTCTGCTTCTTCAATTTTAAAATTCCATTCTTCTTACAGGTAAACTTATCTTGGGGTACTCTACCTTTTTTTTTCAAAATTAATTAAGACGTAGCCTAATTGAAATTTTGAGTCATCCTCTTTTGAAAAAAATTGAAATTAATTATACTATGTTTAATGAAAAAACCAATATGGTTTCAGTTATTTTTCTCATTTTCCGAATTTTTATATCTATTTTTTTATTTTTTACAAGGTAGGACTAACCTTTGAAAAAAGAAAAAGAAATAGAGGTAGAAAGTCATTTTAAAAATTTTAATGAAAATTTCAAAAAATAAAAAATGAAAAATGAAAATTCATCAAAAATAATTTCAACTTTCATTTTGTTGTGCAAAATAGGTCGTTTTCATTAACCGCAGCCTTAGCAACTTACTGGCGATCCAAGACTTACAAATTTCAGTAAAGTTGAGATGAGCCTCATCCTTGAGGGTCCTCTTAGACCTGGTCGAACAATCACTGAGAGAAGGTAAATTGAATTTTCATCGCATATTGATGACAAAGAGTGGAGCCTGCACCTGATACTTGCAGAGGCCCTATACTTAGTATAGTTGTAGTTGTCAAGAATCAAATTCAAGTCTTATCTCCTTAATCCTCCTTGCCTTGCTGACTACGTAACGTTCACCGGCATTCTTTGTGGTGAAAAAGATAAGAAGGGAGGTGAATGGTGTATAGTTGCACATAGGATTGAGTTCCAATGTGACATCCCTGCCATGCCACAAAGTTCAAACAAGAAATTCAAACTGAACAGGTAATAATGTGATGCATTTTTTCACCAGATGGGATCCACTAAGCATCATCGGTTTCCACTTCTCCCTCACACATGTCCACGTTATATATGCATCCCACCTTTTTTCACTTTTGTCGCCACTTCCCAAAATACCCACTGTTTTAATGACATCAAAATTCCTCCAAATTGTGTTATACGTTACATTTCTCCACGTAAAACTTGTGACCCACCCCACCTATATATACGCACCATTTCACATCTAAGCAAAAAAAAAAAAAAAAAACAAATCTCACTTCCATTATTGCTGTTTCTCTCATCCGCCATGGCCACCCTCATTTTCCCAGCCCAACCTTCCCCAGTTGCTGACGCTGAAGCTCTTAAGAATGCCTGCAAAGGTTTAATCTTAGACCAAAATTTCTTTCTTTCTTTCTTTTTGTGAATCCCAATTTAATGTTACATTCAAGAAACAATGTTCAGTCAATTTGGACTCATAAAGTTGGGATGCAGTGATAATAACCAGTCAAATAATAAATTTATTTCATTTAATTCATACCCTCCCTGTTTTCCTGTTTTTTTCTGGGTAAATAAAGTTTCTTGAAATCAAAGAAATGGATTATGTGTTTAGGATGGGGCACGAACGAGAAGGCGATTATCGAAATCATAGGACACAGGAATTGGGTGCAGAGGAAACAGATCAGGAAAGCATATGAGGACCAATACCAGGAAGATCTGGTTAAATGCCTTGAGAAGGAGCTCACAGGCCACTTAGAGGTAATTCTTTAATTAATTGCTGAAAATTTTATTTTTTTCCAGAATGGGATTTAATTTCTCTGATTCCTAGCTTACACTAATTTAATTCTGGGTTTTGCTCAAAAAAAAAAAAACAGAAAGCTGTGTACAGATGGATGCTTGATCCAGAGGACAGGGATGCAGTGCTGCTACACGTGGCAATAAAAGAAGGGTCAGTCCCAGACTACCGCGTCATCATCGAGCAGTCCTGCATCTACTCCCCTGAGGAGTTTCTCGCTGTCAAGCGGGCCTACCAGGCCCGCTATAAGCGGTCTTTTGAAGAGGATCTGGCCCAGCAATCTTGTGCAGAGTTCCGCAGGCTTCTGGTTCCTCTTGCGGGCGTGTACAGGTATGCTGGGCCCGAGATCGACACGAAATTGGCCCATGCCGAGGCCCAGATCCTTCACAATGCCATCAAGAAAAAGGAGTTCAATCACGAGGAGATCGTCCGGATTCTGAGCACAAGGAGCAAGGCTCAGCTCGTTGCCACTTTCAATCGCTATAAAGACGAGCACGGTTGCTCAATCACCAAGGTATATCCATATAAATCTGCATTAGTATGATATTGTTCGCTTTAAGTAAATCCAAGTTTGTTTTTGGGCAATTCCCAAAAGGTATCATATATAATTGGTTGGTTTTTGCCTTAAATATGTAGCATTTGAAGGAAGATTCGGCGAGCAAGTACCAGAACGCGCTGCGTGCCACCATCCGTTGCGTGACTGAACCCCAGAAGTACTATGAGAAGGTGACTATTAGTTACGAGTCATAAGATGTTACGATGAACTCTATAAGGATAGGGTGACTGGACTGCGTCATAGGACACTTGGGCTGAAACCAGTGTTTTTAAACCCGGACCGGAACGGGTGGTCCGACCGGTCGAACCGCGACCCGGACACACAACCAGTCCGGTCCAACCCCCCAAAAACCCAGAAAAAATCGGGTTGACCCGGAAAAACCCGAGACCCGTCCTCTCTGCCGGGTCGACCTCCGGTCCGGGTTTAAAATCATTGGCTGAAACTACAGTGAAAGATGAAATTCAGTCGATTACTAGTTCAACTCAAGAGTGTATAAACCCGTTATTTTCTTCTTCATTTTTCCGATGCGGGATACTCTAACAGGAATGAATGAATGCTATATATATATATATATATAGGTGGTGCGACAAGCGTTGAGCAAATCGGGGAGTGACGAGGATGCGCTGACACGGGTGATAGTGACGAGGGCGGAGAAGGATCTGAGGGAGATAAAGGAGCTGTATCACAAGAGGAACAGTGTGAGTCTGGAGCAGGCTGTGGCCAAGGAGACTTCTGGGCATTATGAGGCTTTTCTCCTGGCTCTCCTGGGAAAGCAAGACTGAGACTGAGAGAGAGAGAGAGATCATAAGCTTTTATAATGAGTGAATGTTTGTGTTGTTTAATTAAGAGTCTGAATGTTTGTTTGAAGTTTGAAGGTGTCCTTATAAAACTGTTCTTCTTTCTTTTGTCTTTGTGTGTCATGTCTTGAACTTTGAGGTTGTTTTCCTTGTGTTTGCTTTAATGTAATGAGTTCAGTGTGGTTGCATCAGTTATGGAACTTTGTTTATTTTTGGTTTTTGCAGTGCCCATTTGTTTTGTTTTTTTTTTTTTGCATTTTTACATTATAATTTTTTAATGGACTAAATAAATATATTTTTGATGCAATCTATTATCATAGAGACATCAAGATTAAAATGTGAATGAATGAAAATTCAAGTACATAAATTTGAAAATGAACAGATTAGTGTTTAATTTAAGTCCTTTTTTTAAAGATTAGGATATGCAACATTTTTGGTAAAATGGACCTTAGATGAATGCTGGTCTTGTTTAAAGTAATTTAAAAATGGCGGTATTGATCTTGACTTATATCGAGTGGAGTATTAAAATTTTTGTTTGTGTAAAATTTTGCTAAAATTTGATACTAATCTAAATATATTCCATACTTGAATCTTTTTATACTAAAATTTATCGCTATTAAAATGTTATCATTTCAATCTCATAGAAATAGCTAGAGTTCATAATATTTTCTTTTGACCTTCTAACACGAGAGATATTTGCATTTATTTTATTAAAGTAGAAATAAGTTTTATACAATTATACCACAAATATGCTTTTGAGTTTTTGAATGAATGAGTTTACTTCTTTGAGTTTTAAATCTTTTCTTTTAATTCAACTCTAAGTAAAACTATCATTTACGGAGTATATAATTTCATATCTTTAAGACTTTAATTTAATTGCGTTTCATGTACATAATGTCATAATTAATAATTTACTTAGATTTACATAGTGCAATTTTCAGATCAAACTATTTGTCCTAAGCGGATACTTCCTCAATTCAGATTTAAACTTTAATTTGAATTTTTACGATCTCTAATGTAACACTTTGACCACTAATATCGATATTTATACATAGTTATATTTTAAAATATTTAATTTTAATTTTTTCAAAATTATGTTTAAAAAACTATTGATATTGCAATTATATCGAAACCCAATGTATATTTTCTGCATATTAAAGTCAAAATTTATAAATTTTGACCAATAAAAGTCATGCATGAAGATTAAATTCAGAAGAAAAGAATATTAAATTAGACGTAAGAAAATTTTTAACATTTTGAGAGCGTTGGTTATCTACATATTATTAAGATGTTAAAAATTTAAATATGTGCTTAAACACCATCTTAGGTTGAAATAGATGTTGCGTCATCCTTGTAACCTTAAGCAATTTTATGACTGGAGAAAACTTAAATAGGAAGGGTAAATCTTGTTTCGGTCATCCTTATCTCGACCACAACTTGTACAAAAACATGGATGCTATCGAGCCAAAAAATGCAATAAGTGGTGATGAGATTTCAACCCAACGACTATGGTGGAACGAAGAACTAAATGAGAAAAACAAGAATATAGATAGGATATGCGATTCTTGTAGGCTTGTATTGGTCAGATTTAGCTTGGCTTACAATGGAGAATTCACTCCCAATTTATAGTCTATTCCTATCGTATGTAATTTCGTGTGCTACATTATCGGTAAATCAACTATCGTGCATCAATTGTGGCGGGGAATCGGGCGTCAATCAGTTCTCAATCCCACAATTTGGGGAATCACGTTTCCCTCTTACACCGTGTTTAATCCACCTCTATGGGCCGGACTTGCCCTGCCTGCCTGTTCTTTGGGCTTCGGCCTCTCCTCATGTTTCGGACTCGGTATCTATTCCTTCACAAACTCACATTTGGGCCCCATTGGGCTTGCTCCAAGGACTCGATATTCATCAAGTGGCTAGGTAAAAAGAAGAAGAAACAAAAAAATATAATAACTAAAATACAAATTTTATGTTGTTTGAGCACATGAGTTTTAACCCTCGGAATACTTCATTATTTAAGTCATAGTTATCTGGAATGAGATCGGAAATAGCCTGACTCGTTACACAAGTTAACTAAAACAAATAAATAATCAATAAATAAGTCATAGGCTCCCACGTCGCAGTGGGCCCATGGTGTTTAGCTGGCGGCGGAGACCGAATACGCATGCTTAGCTGTTGGAGCCCAGCCATGGAGAGTCTGGCCGGGTCCGTCTCAAGTCCGAGTGGATTGGTTTTAAGATAAATCCTTACGTAAAAAAGATAAATCCTTACGTAGTTTTAAGATTCATGTTTATTTTATGAACATTAGTGTATTGATATCATAAAAGAATATAATTGGATTTTTGTAAAAAAAAAAAGAAAAGGTCCATTTGCAAGCTATGAAAAGTATAATAGACTTCGTATATCACATGTGAACCTTGGCTTAGCGTCAAAGAAAATGTTATTTATATCTTAAGAATTTGTACCCCACTTTGTACACCGCATGAATGCACCAACATTTTGTGTTAGTGTAATGCTAATTTTTGTTAACGCACCAACACTTTGTGTCAGTGTAAATTTTTGTTGACGCACCAACAGTTTATGTCAGTGTAAATCATCAAAATATTACGGAGTAGTATATATCATTGATGTACAATATGGTACAAATTTTGATATACAGGTAGCATGCTCCTAGCTTCAATATTGGAGATACTACCATTTTTCATAGGGGCAATTCCGTCCAGCAGAAACACAACAGCTATGAATGAAGCATTGCAGCAATCCAAGATTACGTTACGAGTCTCTCGTCTTTTTTCCCAGCCCAGTAATGGGGAAGAAACACCTGACCCTAAACATAAACTGAAACTCTGCTGTCACCTTCCAAACACTTCTTTCTTTGATCACAAGATCAAATTTTTTGGAGTGGAAAACACAGGGAACAAAATAAAGAAAGCGAAAATGGGTACGATCAAGGTACCAGAGGTGGTTCCTTCTCCCACAGAAGACTGTGAAAGGCTCATGAATGCATTCAAAGGTTTTAAATCTGGGTTCCGATTATTCTCCTTTTTCTTTTAAGAAAATTTTGATTTCCTTTTTCAGGATTGAGATTTGGGTCGCTGTTAGAATTTTGTTTTAACCGATTACGAGTTTGGGTGCAATGTGATCTCACGGAAAGTTGGGTCTTTGTTTAGGACTGGGGACTGATGAGAAAGAAATCATAAGGGTTCTTGGACACAGAAATGCCAGCCAAAGGAAGAAGATCAGAGAAACTTATATGGAGATTTACAACAAATCCCTAATTGATGATCTGCATTCTGAATTATCGGGTGATTTCATGGTAGCGTTTCGTTCTTTTCGAAAACACTTCTCTCTAAGATTATTCATCTTCCAATGTCTGTTTAGCGGAAGATGTTATTTGCAGTTTTCAATTAAATTAATTGGATGGAGCTGTCGACCTGACAAAGATCATTACATGAATGAATCGCTTTTCGGCACAATGTATTTTGATTCTAAATTTGAACACCCATAAAAGATTTCCTTTAATAATCTTGAGGAATTGTTTATTGCCTTGATATGCACAAAACACTGGAAATCTGAAGTGTAGAAATGAGGATTACAATTTAGTGATTATGGATATTCTTGAATGCATATTGTTTTCTTGCTGCATTTCTTTTTTGTCCGAAAAAACGGTAAATTTTGTAAGTTATTGTGGTTTTTATAAAGCTCTTGCACCACTTTCTTTCATGATTGATCCTTTTTCTTAGGTATAAACATTTAGAACCACAACCCATAGACAGGGTAAATTTGCAAGAGCATTATCCTAGCTTGCTATTCTCCATCTTCTTGTTCTTGATGAGGATCGATTTTTGTTGACCCTAGAAAGCTGTGATTCTATGGACATATGATCCTCCGGAGAGAGATGCACGTCTGGCAAACAAGGCGTTAAAGTCAAGGAAGGAGAGCTTAGGAGAATTACAAATCATTGTTGAGATAGCATGTGCTTCCTCTCCCGACCATCTGGTTGCCGTGAGGCGCGCATATTGCTCTCTTTTTGACTGCTCCCTTGAAGAAGACATAATAGCAAACATCTCTATGCCGTTGAAGAAGGTAATTATAGTCAAACATCTCTTTTGGTTATAGGCATGAACTTACAAGGATCATTGTGCTAGCTTTTCATGCCATGCCATGCCTATATGTATATGTTGGACAGGTTCTTGTTGGTTTGGTAAGTTCCTACAGATATGACAAAAAAGTAGTGGACTCTACTATCGCGAATCTAGAGGCTGCTAAGCTTCATGAAGCCATCCAAACACAGCAGCTGCACAACGATGATGTTATTTATATTCTCAGTACTAGGAATCTTTGTCAGCTTAGAGCATCTTTCGAGTGCTACAAACAAGACTATGGATACTCTATTCATCAGGTTATCTTGTTAAACCACGATTTACTCAACGAGTTCTCTCTTGTTCTTCTTCTTCTTGTTTCCCTTTTCTTCAATTTAGAATGTATATTTTCGTCTTGTCATGTAATCCCTATCTAGTTTTGGCACTTGGCAGCATATTAAGAGTTGTGGGAAAGGCCTTTTGGAGTCTATTATGAAGGTTGTCATTTGGTGCATTGACTCCCCAGAGAAACATTTTGCTGAGGTAACAAAAACAACAAACTTGTTGCCAAAAACACACTAACAACCAACCAAAAGCAGCAGAAAAGTAAAACATAGAGAGGAGGCAAATCTTTTTTTTCGGGTCATTTTTCATTCTCATTTGCGAAACCAGATGGGCATTGCCGTTTTGTTTTGCAGGTTGTGAGAGCGTCGGTGATTGGGCTAGGAACCGATGAGGATTCTCTAACCAGAGCCATTGTTACTCGCGCTGAAATCGATTTGGGGAAAGTTAGAGGAGAATATAACAAGATAAACTCTTCTAGTCTTGACCAAGCAGTTGCAGATGACACATCAGGTGACTATAGAGATTTCCTGATGACCCTCCTTGGGGCAGATATCTAGTCTTCTGCTCTTACCCTTTACATATGGTAGGCTTTTTTTTCATTTTTTTAATATAAAAAAAACTATTAAGTTTTTAGAATGCTAATCATATGTACGGGAAGAAGGGTCTTCCAAAAAGAATTTGTCACCGGGTGCGTAATTCACTCGTCGACCTTGTTTACCAGTTTGGTTATTTGTTGGTGAATTGGGATTTTTCTTTCAAATTATTAGTTGGATTCGTTGTTCATCCATGAATAGGAATGTCTACATAAAATTACAGGAGTTCTAATTATCAAAACCCGAACAAAACGAAAACTAAAACTGAACAAAATTTGAACTTCACTGAACCAAAGAAAGTCTATTTTTATACCCAAACAAAATCTATGGTGCCAAACATCAAAATGTTTAGTCTTGTTTTTATTTTTACTCTTGAACTTGGATTCATCCAAGTGAGAAAGAGATCATTTAGAAGAGGGAAGCATGTTTTATGTGCATACCAAGTGTCCAAGTTGCACACAACAATTTTTGTTTGATTTGTTTGTGGGATGTTTATGAAGATGACATAAACATTGTATAGACAATATTTGCTTGTGTGAACAAAAATGTTTGCTCACACAGGCATAAATAGTGGTATACAATATGGTTAAGAAGAAACGAGGTGGGTGTGAGAACATGGCGTTGGACAAAGAAAGGTATAGCTTTATGAAATGTGCAACAACAATCCAATAGAATTTTTGCATAGTTTTATTACTAGCCTTTAAAGTACCGGTCTTAGTCTTTGGGCTAGTCTTCTATCAATTTCGGTTTAGTTCATGCCTTTAACATGTTCTTTACTAGTCGGACTAAAAATTTGTGACAGTAGATGTTGCATAGTTGGCAAATGCAGAGAGTGACAAGAGGTAAAAGTGTAAAACCGAATTCGATTTTTAACAATTGCGCTGGCTGCAAGTATTAGGTACATGCTCCACTCCAGGCTACTAATCTACAATTAAAGTTCAATTTAACCTTTCAGTGATGGTTCTGGCCGAGTCTAAGAAGGTCTTCGGAGATGGGGTTATCGTTTTTCCAAAAACTTGTGATTAAAATTTAATTAGAATAGGAACCGTATGTATTATAAGTCACATATCTCTGTTAGCTTATTCGCGTATAATACGCGTATTATACACTAGTACGTATGATACACATATTACACTCTCGAATATGAATTTTTAATGGGACGAACGTATAATACGCGTATTTTTTTACCCTAAACGTATTTCCAAATTTTATACATATTATATTGCAAAATCATTGGGGTCTAATTCAGATGAGATCAAATAAATTGATTGTCTTTCTGCAAAAATACAAATCTTTAAAATTTGGCGACTCAATTATTATAAAAGTATTAAAAGTCGGATCGTAGTTCAAGTCATCCACCAATATCTTTTGTTAATAAAATGTCATCCACACTCTACCAGTCTCTTCGACTTCGTCCGGCTGAAAGTCCAGCATTGCATCTGCACCAGCAAATAGTAGACAACAACATTTTCTCTATTTGTTTAGATTTTGAAAATGTGATCAATTTTTATTTAGTTCTTAAGATTAAGGTGGGTGTATTCAATCCCAACTCTGCAGGATTTTTTTTGATTTTAAAAGTCAATGGGTATTTGATTAAGATTTTGAAAAATCATTTTAAATTTGGAGGTATTCAATTGAGATTTTAAAAAATCTTTCTAAATCTAATGATATTGAAAAATTGATAGATTTTCAAGGATTGTTATAAAATATAGATTGTGGTGGATTTTTAGCTTGAGTTATAAATAAAAAAACTTGCTTCCAAATCCACAGGGATTTTTAGGACTCCAAGCGCCGGTATTCTTCCGATCATCTTCTCTGTCTCATCAGCCGATCTTCTCTTCTTCCGCAAGCACTCAATTTCTCAAATCTCGTGCTTCTCTGTAGAAATTCTGCCTCTTACTCCTCTCCTTCCCTTTCTTCCTCTATTCTCCATCACTCCAGGTAGGCCCTCTTCGCACCATCGTTCTTCATCTCCGTCCTCTTCGCCTTCTTTTTCTACTGGTGTGTGTTTTTTTCTGGATGCACTGCATATCAATTGTGACTCCACTGCATCATTGTTTGGCTCCTCCATTGTCTTCAATTAGAGATTTCTAGGTTAATAAATGGTTATACCCTTTATGTGTTTGAAGAAATGTCAAGAGTTGTTCTTATTACGTTAAAGATTTGCCTCTGAAAACTACTGGAGGAGCAGAGCCGCACCGTTGTTCCGCATCTCCCATCCACCAGTTTGCTTAAAGACGAGTGATTTGAGCATTCATTTCTGGAAAATTTTGCCAAGATGATGGAGGAAGGAAGGAAATATTGGCCATTTAAATGAGCAAGGTCTGTATGTTGGAGGCCAGACCACCTATGCCTTGTGTGGATGGATCTGTATGATAATGAAATTTTTTTAAAAAATAATTTAGTTTTATAATATTATTTTTAATTTTTTAATCGATTTCATAAACAAAATTTTTCAACAGCTAATTACAATAGTTGATACTACAATAACGTATAACTCTATAAAATAATTTGTATTTACGTATAAATAGTATATTGATTATAAACAATCAGACATAATCCTATAAAATCCTATTGATAAATTACATTAAAATTTACCAAACTCTACGTAGACTTAACATAATCTATTGATTTTAAATAATTCATAGACTTAAAATAATCTATTGAAATCTTTCAAAATCGTGATTGAATACACCCCCCTAAATATTTGTCCACGTTTAAAAATACAAATTTGATTTTATTTGTATGATTTAAATTCAAAAAATCTAAGTTCCTAACTATATCTTTGTATTCTAAGAATAAAAAATATAGACTAAATTTAATTTTACTCAACTTTAAAATGTGTAAAACATTATTTAGTAAGTTCATATTTAAATTATAAAGAGACTTAAATCTTCCTTTTAAATTCAATATAAACATTTAATCAATTTTATAAAACATAAATTGTCTAATAATATAATTTTTGTCATGTCTTAAATGCCTTATTCATATCTAAATGTCGGCTTCATTTTTCAGAATGTGTTCTTACTTTGAATATATTTTGTGGAAGTACAGAATAATAATTAGATTGAAAGATCTTCTTTGGGTACACATGGAAAAAATGAATAAACAATAAATCGTAGTGTTGGTTAAACTTTTAGAACTTTATGATGTATTTGTATTCAATTTCAAAGTTTAAAATGTGTTTCTTATTAAAAATATATGCATTCATTTTAAGCCGTATTTTTTGAAAAATCAAACGTATAATACTCGAACATATCCGTATACGTTATCCGAACGTATAAAATGTATAATAAGTCGTATATACACGAACGTACGAATAGACGTATTATACTCGTATCCGAATAAGCTAACAGAGTCACATATTAACTGTGTGAAAGTATCTGTCCAATTCAACTTTTTAAAGACAAATTTTAATCATTAATTAATTATATTATTAAGTATATCTTTGTAAAAATAATAACTTTTAGAATTATCTGGGAAAAAAAGTTTCAAAATTTTTTTCATTGTGTAACACAAATTTAATAAAATTGATGATTAAAGTCGACAAGTTTGACAAGAATACTCTTCCACAGATGAAGCATTTCTTTATTGAAAAAAAAGAGACAAATATGAACGTGGAAAATGGTTTCCGTCCGGTTTCGTGGCCATTGGATTCCATGGCCATGGAAGCCACTGCCCCTACGGAGCTCCGTTCATAAAATTGATGATTCCTGTCTTCCCTAACCCCTTGGTAAACCCCCCGCCAAGTCCCGAACCAAACTCATCCCCCACCTACGTCAATTGCACCTCGTAAGTNGGTGCAATTGACGTAGGTGGGGGATGAGTTCGGGTCGGGACTTGGCGGGGGGGAGGTTTAGCAAGGGGGGGGGGGGGTTAGGGGGATAGAATTCATCAATTTTATGAACGAACTTCATAGGGGGGTAATGGCTCCCGTGGCCACTGAGATCCAGTGGCCACGGAACCGGGCCGAAATGGTTTATGGGCGAAGAGCGTTTTCCTTTATAGGGCACAGCGAAGAATGCAATGAAAATCCTCCAAAAAAAAGGAAAACCACGTACGGCCATCTTCACCACAACATATTGAGAATTTGAGACATGAAATTGAAAACAACATAGTCCCTATGCATTTTGCCCTAAAATTTTCTTCTTTGATGCTCATTTGGAAGATGAAGTTGTGTGGTTACGATTTATAAATGAACGATAAAAACATTACAAACCGCACAAATCTTTCAAAAAAAAAAAGAAATCGAGAAGAAACTTTTAAGACAAACCGAAAAAACAAATGGAAAGATCTTTCTTAGGACGGACAGAGACTAAATCTTGTACGTGCACGCTATTTCCCTGTTTGGATCACGGTATTAATGGCTCTGTTGAGCCTGAATCATCCGAGACTCCAAAATCCACCGGCAACAAACATGGAGGAGAGTACTCTCCAAGCACCTTTCGTACATTTTCCTCCATCACACCTTCATTTTGGTCAAGTTCGTCATTCGCTACAGCATCCTACACACTCACAACAGTTATTTAATTCTACACGAAAATAAAAGCGCATTTTATACATTTTTCCTTCAAACTTAGTACCCTTTAATGAGTTTCAAATTAAAGCAGAATATACAACGACAAACCCTAAGTAGGGTCTAGGGTGGGTGTATGCAAACCTTATCTACAAACACCTCTCTACTTTCGAGTAGGGGCAAGGTCTGCGTAAATACACCCCCCCCAAGACCCTACTCTTGTGGGATTCAATTAGGTCGTTGTTGTTGTTGTAAACAAAGATATGTTCCAATTAAAGCAAATAATCCATTACCTGTACGGAGAGACGGCAAAAGGTAGGGTAAAACCGGACGTTGCAGTAGTGATTAAAGATCAAAGTGAGAATGAGGAGTGGTATAGTGGAGAAGGAAGCCGAAGGCTTCGACTTGAGTCCGAAAAGACCGATCATCGTGACTTGCATGAGGATGAGTGCAACAATGATGTAGTGATGAATGTATGGCCAGTACTGCCCGAACGTCTCATATGATGTTATATAAACATCTTCGATCTGCATTAATTGTAACCAGAGATAAAAATGATGCTACAGCTCAACGCCGTGATTTCCTTTTTGAAAACACTGGTCTGTTTGGTATATGGAATTGATGGAATTGGAATTGAAATTCCATGGGATTCAATTCCATAGAATTCGAATTCATCAATTTCAATTCATTTTTTGCACTGCCAATTCCAAATTCACATAATTTTTGTGCTACCAAACACCAGAATTGGAATTGAAGTCCTCAATTCCAATTCCACAGTTTGAATTCCGTGTACCAAACGGGGCCTGAAGCTGTTGCCAAACAGATCCAAACCTGATGGATGAACACGATATAGCCAAGCAGGAAGTAGACAACAAGAAAGGGAAGAAGCATAGGCGAGACGACTGCGTACACAATGCCAATGAGTGTAGAGAGAGCGACGAATGGAATGATCCGATAATAAGGTAAAGAATAGAGATATGGGGTTCTTTCCCTCCCGCGATCCCATGTGTTTGATTTTACAGCATCCCAAACAAGCAAACCAGGTTGAAGAATCTCCAAAGAAAACCCAGACAGGCCATTCGTCAAGATGTATGTCAAAAAGAAGTCTGCCTGAACCAACAGAATGAAAGACAAATCCCTTATATCAATTAGTATATATGAGACCTTTGAGGAAGAAGGTACAAGTGATATATAGACATTCAATTAACTTACTTGGGCAGAGACAGCACTAGCGAGGCGACTAGGGATATATTTGGGTTGGGAGAACGACTCGCCGATCTGATCAAGTAAGGACCCAGACAACAAACTTAAGAAGAACACATTCGCCACCAAGAAATAGAACACCATCTTGCATGCCTTCATATCTTGCTTGCTTCTTGTGATGCATCCCCCTAATCTTGACAGCCCAATCATAGCGAATGGAACAATGTAAATGAACCCATTAAGAATGGCACTCGGAAGGTATCCTGTGACCACGGACTTTAGCCCCGGACTGCAGAAAACATATATTCTATAGTTATGACCCCAAAAAAACATTCTAAGTGTTTGGTAAGATGAGTTTGGTTTGTTTGTATCAGTTGTTTGGAAGCTTCTTACATCAAATCGATGGCCTTAACAGGAGGAAACCATTTTCGCAGTCTTTCATATTTGGCAATTCCTTGAACTGCTGCAACTGGTATGGCAAAGAAAAGTGTGAGGATGACCACTGCACCAAGTATTCCAATCTCATAAAGTGGCAATTGCCGGTACGGAGTTGCCACGTTTCCCCAAAGCACGTCCCTTGCTTCAGGGGCCATTTCGGTGATCCATAGTAACGGGTTTGAATGGTGCTGAGATTGTGCAGCCAGAGCAGCACCGCAACGTGACCTGAATGTAACAAATGCAACAGGCAATTCCTATAATATCAAAAACCACAAGGCCCGTTATTTAACAAAAAATAAATCATTAAAACCAGTAGTTTGTAATTCCAAATATACCCCCCACATGATCAATAAGCTAGCTGAAGAGTGAGAAGCTTTACCTTCTCTTGAAGCATCATGGCATGCCTCGCGTGCCTTATTTTGCAACCGAGATCACGAAGCGTTTTCTCAAGCTTTTCAATCTTTTGTTTCTCTCTAAATGAACCAAGCGAAAAAGAGCTTCGGCCACATTTCTTGTTTGAATGTTTCTCTTTTAGATCCTCAATCTTCTTCCCAGTGGACTTTGCCTTGTTCTGCACGCAAAGCACCAGCTAGACTCAAACGGTTGTTTTTATCAGTGGGTAGATCTATTTTTAACACCAAAGTTTGAAACCATGTATTTCACGGGCATGCACAAACAATGAATGGCTTTGGCTCTTTGCAGCCAGATAATGATTGCATGTCTGTGAAACACATGGTGTCAAACTTGGTATAACTATCGCATGGTCCTTTATGAATAAAAAAAGTAAGCCCGTGATGAACACAAATTAAAAATCATGTTTCGACCCAAATTATAGATTATGCACTCACCAACAAATTGTCAAGTTCCTTTCCATCATAAAGAATTTGATAAGATTGATAAGAATGCGGATGATACTTGGTGAAGAAGTGTTCTATGCAGCACCCCCGAGCCTTGTGTTCTTGGCAAAACGGAATTTCTCGGACCAAAATGGCAAACTGGTTGGGATATTCCCTTTTGCTACGCAGTTGCTGAATCCTTTTAAGCAAAATATAATCATATTCCTACCAAACATAAACGCTTTAACTTTTTTACTTGCTAAAACCAATTCACACCAAGTTTTGGAAAACTTTCATCAAATTTATTTATTAATCTGTACTACATTTTTCATTCATATATTTTCCTCAACTAAATCAGAAGTTTTCTTTATTTCTTGTCTTAAATCATAACAATATGATTGAAGTTGGCCAAAAACGGCATGCAATTCAATATATGTAAATGATGGGCAGAAATGGCAAAAAGGAACAATCAATAGAATCAATAATAACCACAGGTCATAGAGTACAAAGCCAAATGAGAAAGAATTAATCCCCAAAATCTGCAATCACCAAAAAGTTACCTCGTATAGCAAGTATAATCCATAGCAAGAAACAAAACAAAGGACTGAAAAATGCACCCAAAGCCTGTGAAACCAAATGTATCATATATGAGGAAAGTTCAACAAAATAAAGATTTTGCATGTGAACATAACTTAGAAGAAAAGTTTATATGCATTAGTTACCAGTTAGAGCCACTACTTATATTTGATATTGTAAACGAATCGGTGGAATGATAGCTCTTAGATTCCTCACTACTCCCAAAATAATTCAAGGGGAGAAGAACTAACACACCAACTAAAGAACATCCCACAAAGAATTTAATCCTGCAAAAAATGCATACGTATTCAAGTATATATAATAGCTTTACATGTGATTTTAAAAGCATCTTTCATAGCAAGTCTTATTTTTTTTCCAATTATATGCCACATGTGTGGGTTCTTTTGACACCAAAGAAGGTTGGCATAAGATATGACACCAATGAGTGCTAGATAAAGAACCCCACTCATGCCACATTGTCATAGAGAGCAAAATTGGGATGACTTCAATAGTAAAGTTCCAGCTTTGGTCCCATACTCCAATTTTTATGATTAAAATTATTGAAGTACACATCTAGATTAAGGCTTTTAAGTAAATTAAAAAATACACTCTCCATCCCTGAGTATTTTGTCTGACTTTTTTAGTCAACAATTTTCAACCTTTGACCAATAATTAAATAAAATGGACGTTGTATATTAATCCGATAAAATAATATTTGAAAAATATTTTATATAATAAATCTAATAAAACTCTTTTTGTATCAATATCTAATGCAATTTTTATTTAATTTGAAGTTAAAGTTTATTAATTTTGACCAAAAAAGTCAAAAATGGACAAATATTTAGGGACCGAGGGCGTAAAAATAAGGGATAAGGAAGAGCTTCAATAAAGCTCATCCAATAGATTGTAAGGGCACACATTAAAGGAATAGAAATCAAACAGGGGGTTAACTAAGCTTCTTGTTATTAAAAATCCCTAATGATTAGCATTAACTAAGGAATTAATTAACGCCGTAAGTACCCGAATTTAAAAAACCTAACGAAGACGAGGACGTCAAGGCCGTGGGTTTCAAGAATCCGGTCATCGGAAACAGAGACGGCGCGGCGAATCCAGCTCAGTCCAGACGGGGGGCATCCGGCAAGGGGAGCAGCAGAATGGGGAGGCGGCGGCGGCTGGAGGGAGAGGCGGCGAGGGTAATAAATGGGGGCGTAGAAAGTGCGGGTCTTGAGTAGGGAGAAGAGGGAGATGACGAAGAGGGCCAAACCTACGTTGATCGCCGTCGACACCAGCAAGCTCTCTGCTTTCATCTCTGCCGTCCGCCGATCTATGGGCGGCGTCAATCTCAGATCTCGCAGCAGCGGAGAACTGAAGACGCATTGAGAAGGGAAGATGGGGGAGATGGCGACACGCCGATGGGGTCATGGGGACGTGGCGGGCTTAGAGAAGGTGACGAAACAAACTCATCATTTGCAACTTGGTAGTGCATGAAAAATTGACGGTTGTTACTTCTTGTCAATTGAGCTAATAAACGGTTTTACCATTACCAACAACAACTCAATTGGATTTCAAAAGAGTAGGATCTTGAGTGGGTTTGCATACTCAGACCTTACGTCTACTCAGTAGTAGAGAGACTATTTCTAAGAGACCCCGGCTCAAACAACAAAAACAAAGCTTTGCCATTAAGAATTTAGTAAGGTAGTGTTTGGCAACTAGCATTTCATTTCAATTCATGCATTTCAATTCTAAAATTTGAAATCCTGAATTTCAAATGACAAGGGGAGGTGCATGGATTTCAAATTAAGCATTGTTTTGAATGTAAAGAATTTGATTCAAATCCAAATTCAAAATGCTTAAGTTTCCCAAACATGGAATTTAAATCAAATCCGGATTTGAAATCCAAATCCATGTTCCCAAACATACCATAAATGAATTCATTTAGTTCATGAGTATTTACATAAATGAGACTTAGGGCCTTAGGGGCTGTTTGAGAACTTCTGAATAGGTAAGTGTTGAACCAGTAAGAGGTCTGAACCATTAAGTGCTGAACCAGTAAAAGGTCTGAACCATTAAGAGCTAGTATATTGTTTAATAATTCAGAGGCAAATGTTTGATCAATTCAGATAAGAGGTCTTACCATTCAGACTCTGTATAATACTTAACCATTCAGAGGCAAATGTCTGAACTATTCAGACATCTGAACCATTAAGAGGCTGAAACAAACAGTCTGAACCATTAAGTGCTGAACCATTCAGACATCTGAACCATTAAGACTGAAACAAACAGCCCCTTAAACATATTACGTTTTCCTAAATAGGACCAGTCTCATCGACTCTAATACTTAACAATAGAAATTCTAAAATGTCATGATTTTGAGAAAAATGATTTATTACACAATTCAAGTAGAATAAGACAGTATTAAAAACACTTTGAATAGTTATTGAAATAATTAGTCATTATCTAATACTTGTTACTAATGACCACATTCGTAGAGTCATTCGTATGATCAGTCATTATCCAACATTTATTGCTAATAAAAATATATATGGCAGATCATATGGAATTATGTGTCATAAAAGTACTAAAACATACTTAATCCGTCCAAAACACAAATTTTTCTTGGTTCATAACGTCTAAAAGGTTAAAATTTGAAGTTGTGAGAAGTTATGCAAACATAATATATATTGAAGTGGTTGATGCGGTAAAGTTTCACTTTGTTAACACTATATTTGGTTCAAAGAATTGGGGAAGAAAAGAAAATGATTTTTTCTCGTTTTTCTCACCAAAATGACAAGATATTGGTTTTTCAAATATCTTCTTAGGGTCCGTTTGATTTACGGATCAGAATTGATGGAATTGGAATTCAAATAGAATTGAAATTTCATGGAATTCAATTCAATATATAGAATTGAATTCACCAATTCTAGTTCATTTTTTGCACTATCAATTCCAAATCCACATAAATTTTGTGCTATCAAACGCCAGAATTGAAAATTTAAAATTTGAATTCTACAGGTTAAAACGAAATCACACAAACCATTTCTGTGTTATGACAATGAAACAAGTCTAATAAAATAAAAACAAAAAATTTAAAATTTAAAAATAACAACTAAAATTAAAAAGTAAAATGAAAAACTAAAAGTTAAAAACTAAAAATTAAAAATTAAATAAAGGAAATTTAAAATTTAATGTTGGAAAATAGAAATTTAAAATTTAAATTCCAAATTAAAAGTTTAAGATTTAAGATTAAAAAAAATAAAATCAAATATAAAAACAAATAATTATAAATGTAAACATAAAATTTTAAAACTAATAATAAAAATTAAAAAACCAAAAATAGAAATTATTACTTTATAACTAATAATTAAAAATTAAAAATAAAAAAACAAAACTAAAATTTTAAAAAATAAAAATCAAAATTTTAAAAATATAAATTTAAAATGTTTTTTATATTTAAAGAAATAAAAAATTAAAATTATAATAGTATAATATAAAATATCAAATTTAAAAATTAAAAGTAAAAAATTTAAATTTAAAGTTAAAAAAATTAAAAATTTAAAAGTTAAAACTAAGAATTTAAAATTTAAATCTAAAAATATAAAATTTATTTAAAATTTCAAAATTAAAATTAAATATTTAAAAATATAATTTCAAAAAAAATTAAAACTAAAAAATTAAAACTAAAAAATTAAAACTAAAATTTGAAAATAAAAAGATAAACTATAAAACTTAAAGTTAAAATATTAAAATTTGAAAGTAAAAAATTTAAACTGTAAAATCAAAAATAAAAAATTGAAATTTGAAATGACAAATAATTCTTCAATATAAAATATAAAGAATTTAGAATTTAAAATTTTATATTCTAAATTTAAACTTTATAATATAAAGTTTAAATTTTAAACTTTAAATATTAAATATTAAATATTAAATATTAATTTTAAATAGTAAATTATTATTGCATTTATTTGGACTTGGGCTTTGAGAATAAAGGAACCAACCATTGGAGTGAAATTTTAATAATCTCTACTTTTGATGTGGCAATGAAAGAGAGTGTCACATGGGACACAATAAAGTCCCTGGACATGTGCTAAACAACATACTCTAAATATGAAAAGTAAAAGTAGAAAAATATTAAAGATTGCTGAATAGTTAATAAAATTAGAATCACTTTTTTATGGGCACACTTTCATTCACTTGAAATTATATATTCCCAACTGATCGAATATGATCATATAAATAGAGGCCCATCCAATGCAACACGTACGCTATAGAAATAAGAAAACAACGATTCTGCGAACCAATTAATAGATGATTTTACATATATATTCCCCATTTCAAAATATTTGCGAGTTGCGAATCAAACAAAATGAATTTTAATTTTCAATTTAAAAAAATTATTATGTGTATTAATATATAATTTATTTAATTTGTTTAGAACTTTAAACATTTTATTTCATTTTATGACTCGTAATATTCAATGCAAATTTAAAATAAGGTATTTCTAAAATCATATGGATTAGTAAAAAACAATTCTCTTCAAATAATAATCCAACATAAGTACTGCTCCTTGCATATTAATTAATCGACCAATTCACCCCTAAATAATTGGTCATTAATAATTATCAATAACTAACTAATACATCAATTAATAACCCAAACGAGTTAATTCAAATTAGTGCTCAACATAACACGTACGTAATTAGAAGATTATTTTAATTGGGCGAATATTAATCTAATTTATTAGCTAGGATAAGAGGTCGAGAACCGCGTAATATCCAATCAACACCGGTAGAGAAACGAATGTGCCAATTATAATCCTGCAAAAATAAATCACTTATATATAGTCACTACATTATAAAAAAACTACATAGATAATTAATTTGCAAAATAAATAAATAAACATACTCAGTAAAAATGAAATAAAGGTAATTAATGATGAGAATATTAATTATTAATTTACGACGTACGAAGTGCTGAGAACATCGGCATGGATTCCATATTCTTTGGCATAAACGAATGAAGTTACTGCTTGTGGCAATGCGGCCTATTGTTCATGCATGCATGGAATGGAATATAATCAAATAAATTAAACATTATTCTTAGTAATTAATTTATCAAGAAATATGAAAATGAATGCATAATAAAAACATTATATTATTCTCCCTTCGTCTCTAAAAGATTGTCACAGTTTGACTTTTTTAGTCAAGTTGTTGTACCCTTTGACCACAAACTAAATAATGTTTAAAATACATATATATCACAAAAATTGATATTTTAAAATTATATTTTAAATAAACTTAATTTTATTAAATTTACATTATAATTAAATATACTTTTTTCATAATTTACGGTCAAAAGTTACCACAGTTTGACAAAAAAAGTCAAACTGTGGTGATCTTGTAGAGACACAGAGAGCATATTCTCAGCATCAAATATATTACTTTTTCGTATATAAGTGATCAAAATGAAGCAATATAAAACTTACACTCGTTTTCAGATACTCCGTAGATAATAAGGAATTCTACGAAGTATTTAATTTGAAAATTAAAGATGACATAAAATATTCCTTCTCTCTCTAAGAGATTTTCTTCTTTTATTTTTTCTATTCTTAAAAATTAAATCATTTTTTATTGAAAGAAAAAAAAATCAATTTTTCTTCTACTAATTTTTACATCACCTATGACATCTAGTCTATTTACTACTTTTACACATCTCATCATCACATCAAATATAATTTGTAAAAATCAAAACATAAATAGTTGTCCCTTGAATTCCACAAAAATAGGAAATATACTTTTAGACGATGAAATACTCCTTTCATTCCTAAAAAGATTATCATAATTTAACTTTTTTGATCAAATTTTGGTACTATTTGACTGCGAATTATGGAAAAAGTATATTTAGTTATAATGTAAAATTAGTAAAATTATGTTTATTTTAAAATTTGAAATATGAAAATTTTATACTATTTTATTATTTTAAAATATATTTAATTCGTGATCAATGGCCGGCCATGAGTTTATATTCTACTTATAAACACAATAGCATTATGCACAATTATTGTTTAGATTTTAAATAATGTAATTTAATATACTCTTGTACAATTTTCATCTCGAAAGCTTTATTATTGGAGTACGTTTGTTATTAGGAATAATAAAATGGAGTGAATCATACTACCTCCGTCCCGTGAAACATTTCCCCTTTTTTTTTTTATCCGTCCCACAAAACACTTCTCATTTCTATTAAAAAGTCACTTTTACCCCTTACTTTTTCATACCCTAACTATCACATCATACCTTTTTACTAATAATCTATCCATCAAATCATACTTTTACTCATCACATCAAAAGACATTTTTGAAAATTCAATACCAAAATACACTCTCTTAAATCCCTCCTAAAAAGCAAATGTCTCATGTTTCACGGGACGGAGGTAGTACTCCGTATGAAATACCTGCACTATAGCAATCTTGAAGACTTCACCGTGCAAACGCAAAAGGGCGGCGCCCATGGCGGTTGTCGCCGGTCCGACTACGAACCGCAAAACTAAACCGTATATGGTTAAAACCGGACCGCACGATATTATCTTCTCTTGTGACGCCATGAAAAGCCCTACACATGCATGCATACGTATGGGTCCAAATTAAAATAATACGGTGCATGCAACTATATGGAAGATAAAAATAATTGCATAAGATAGTGTTTGGCAACTAGCATTTCATTTCAATTCATGCATTTCAATTCCAAAATTTGAAATCCCTAATTTCAAATGACAAGGAGAGGTGCATTGATTTCATATTAAGCTTTGTTTTGAATGTAAAGAATTTGATTCAAATCTAAATTCCAAATGCTTAAGTTTCCCAAACATGGAATTTAAGCCAAATCCGGATTTGAAATCCAAATCCATGTTCCCAAACATACCATAAGGGAAATTATATCTTTAATTTCTCGCGCGATACTATATTTCTTTCGTCCAAATTTATTGTTTATTAATAGCCTCTCACTTAATTTAAAAATATCATTTTGAAGACTTATTTATAATTTAGATAATAAAGAATCTCAACCTATCTCTGTATAATTTAGACATTTTTTATATAAAAAAAGTATTTAGGAAACATGTTAGACAAGAATACTAATAGTACTTATTGTAGTATTGGTTATGGTAGTGTTTTATTATTAGTCAGCTTCCTAATCCTATTTGTGGTAGATGTTGTATGTTAGTTAGTTTCCATTCTCTATTTCTAGTTGTGTTAGAAGTCTCTCCTATATATACTCTATCATGTACTTCATAATTCAATGAGCAATATTATTATTCCAATATTTCAACATGGTATCAGAGCCACCGATCTTGGTGACCTAAAAGAGTTCTTCACTTTCGTCGCCGCCGCCGGTAATTCCGGCGACGGCGACTCCACTCTATTCACCTCTATTTTTTTTCTCTTCTGTTGAACTAATAAAAATCCAAAGTAAATCAGCACAAAAGCAAAGCCAAGAGGGGAAGTAGTGAAAGAGAAAATAAGACCTCTACAACTCACCCTTCAAGAAGGAAATAGGGCATTGCCCGGATCTAAGAAAAAGACAAAAAAACGTCAAGGATCTTCAGTCAAGCACCTCCAGTAGCCTTTTCTATTCTTCTTCGACGTCAGCAGCTACAAGCGCGCGTCAACTTTCTCTCTTCTTCATCGACGTCAGCTACTGGCGCACGTCAATTTCTCTCTTCTCCAACGACGTTAGCAGCTACCAGTGCACGTCATACTTCTCTCTTCTCCAACAACATTAGCAGCCACCGGGGCATGTCAGACTTCTTTCTTCTCCAACGATGTTAGCAGCCACCGGTGCACGTCAAACTTCTCTCTTCTCAAAGTTTCCAATTTCCAGCTAGTATCCAAGCTTCCTCTTGCTTCAGCCAGAGTTCAGCTTGAGGGGGGGGATGTTAGACAAGAATACTAATAGTACTTATTGTAGTATTGGTTATGGTAGTGTTTTATTGTTAGTCAGCTTCCTAATCCTATTTGTGGTAGATGTTGTATGTTAGTTAGTTTCCATTCTCTATTTCTAGTTATGTTAGAAGTCTCTCCTATATATACTCTATCATGTACTTCATAATTCAATGAGCAATATTATTATTCCTATATTTCAACAAAACACATCTCAATTATGGAGCTAGGCTCACGTTAGTAATATTTGCTTATTAAGGATTACTTAGGGAAAAAACTTAATTATAAGAAAGGACAATTTTGAAAATTTACTCAAAATATTTTGTCATATTTGATGAAAAAGACTATTTATAGAATAGTTTTCAAAAACCGAGGATTGTTCATGGAATATCTTATAATTGGAGACTAAATATGGAAAACTACATTATTTAGGGAATTTAGGGATCATTTATGGAATTTACTTAAATAAATATTCTTGGGTTCATATTTATTAAAATATACTCCATGATCCCTGCGTTCCATACATAAAAAAAGGACTATTTGTGAAAAGATATTCATAAAAAAGGACTTCAAGGATAATACCGATTATTTGATAATACATGGCTAAAAATAAAAAAATCTCATGTCATAAAGAATTAATTATGATATTTACTCTTATTAAAAATATAAAGTCTCATTAATTTTTCTTTTTTTTAGATGGAAGAATAATTTACCAGTAGTGAACATGGCAACACTACTACCAGCCTTGGACATGATCAAGATAGAATCCTCCAAGATGCAAGGCATATGAAAATTCCACCTGAAATTAATTAAAAATTTAAAAAAACAAGTGATTTTTAATACGGAGGACATTCATATACATCTTTCTATGATATTTCAAAACTACATATTTGACATAAATCTATTGCTATCAAATTAATATCATAACTCAATATATATTTTTCCGCAGTTAAATTTTTAAAATGTTAAACACAAAAGTCAAACTAAAAACAAAGATGGAGCATATGACATATATATATATATATATATATATATATATATATATATATATATATATATATATATATATATATATATATATGTGGTTCCCCCTGTAGAGATGGTCACATGGCTGATTGGCGAACCACACCACCCGGGTTCGATCCCTAGAAGATGCAAATTTGGAGGAATTTTAAAGAGTTAAGCGTGCCGGCATAGGAGTAGCAGAAATGATGGGTGACCCCTGGGAAGTAGATTTGGGCTTATGGGGCTGGGCTTTAGATTGGGCTTACTTATATACATATATATATATATACATACATACATACATACATACATACATATATATATATATATAAGGAGGAATTTATACCTATTGGATATTAGGGCCCAAACCAGGCCAAGAAAGCATGCATAAGAATTAGGATTCTTGGAAAGTTTGATAAACACGGCTTTGATCAACGGCTTCAACGACGGCGAATTGCCTGCCGCCACCGCCGCCGGATTATAACTCCGTTCAAGATCTACTATCTCCATTTCAATGGACGAAACACCTGCATTATTGTGATTATTATTATTTGTATTCTCTACAGCCTTTGTCGTCGTGTTGTTGTTTAGCAATGCCGACATCTGGATCAACCTCGTACGTCGGAACTCGCACCCGAACAACAACAACGTCAGCCACAACGACAACTGATGACGTCAAGGATAATTAAATCACATCAGGTACGTACATCGAATAAATTATAAAAACGATATAATTTGATCATGGCAATGATATTGATATTTTGAAAAATTACCTACTCCCTTCCTCTGTTTTAAAAAACACTTCTTTAATTTTTTTTCACTTTTGTTAAAATTCCGGCGGGCCGAGAACAACGGATAGAGTGTCGGGTAAAATTAACCACTTGCACATAAAGTCGGGATCCACAATTCTAACTCAAAAGGTTAAGCTGATAGGTAAGGCTTCACCGTTCTATATATGCTAGCTAGTGATACTCATCTTTATTTTACGATGTGGGAACTCCAACAACTTTCAACAAAATACTCTCACTTTTTATTAAAAATCTTCTTTTATTCTACTTTTTCTTACCCTACGACTTTTCTTCTAATAATCTATCTATCACATCTTTTTTTAATCCATCACATCAAGCGCAAAATTAGAATTCAACTATAATTTAATATTTCCTTATTTTATCAGTTGGTAAAAATGGAACTCTTTTCAAGAACGGAGGGAGTATATACCATCAAAACATAAAGTTTTTTCTCTAAATAAGACTAGCCAAATTTTATTCAAGAATATTGTATGCACGGCCTGATCTTATTTCTATCTATGTTGTTTGAAATAGAATATCTTGAAAATAACTCCTCTACTTTCGAGTAGGGCCAGGGCAAGATCTGCGTATAGACACCCTCACCAACCCTACTCCGATCCCGTGAAATCCAATTAGGTTGTTGTTGATGAATCTTGTATGCATGAAGGACAAAACTTGTATTGATACAAAACTACTTTTAATTGAAAAAAATACTACATAAGTTCTATTTAGAGAAAACACCTACCAATTGGAAAAACTTTTAATCTTATACCAAATAATTTTTATTTTTTATTTTGTGATGAAGGGAGTACATTTTTATTCTAAAAATTTTAAGTCTTGATACCTGAATGGCGGCTGCTTGGAGAACGATGTCATAGCCCAATGGCCCGTACATGGCTTGCATCAACGGAACCCCTACTACGAGGGTGTTGTTCATGGAAGATAATGAGAAGGTGGTGAGGGACCAATCTAGGCTTCCACTTTTGGCAAAGTTGGCCCACAAGGCGAGGGCGACAATGACTGCTGATTTAGTGACAATGTCTGAGGCAAGGAAGGGATAGTTCATCCGGTAAGGATGAACCTGAGAGAGGAAATGGAAGTTGAAGAATGGGATGACAAAGAAACAATTGAACCGGTTTATGGCGTCGCAGTGATCCGGTTTAAACATGTTCCACCACCGGATCGAACCGTAACCCAAGACCATCGCCACGTAGAGTGGGGCCATGGTGGCCACCACCTTGTACACGTCATCCCAACCTATCATTTTCCTTTTTATGTTTGGTTTGGAGGTAATTCTTCTCTGTGTGTGGGGGGGGGGGGTGTGAATTGATGAATGAATGAAAGTGTGCCAAATGCTTATATATAGAGAGGAATTGAAGTGGCCATGCCACTTTGTTGAACCTTTTACTGGTGGGCAAATTCGTGCATGTACTTGGTTTTTATGGTGAACATCCACATATATATAAACTAAATAAATATTTTTTTATTACAAAGATAATTAAATTTGTTTAATTTTTTAAAAGAGATGAAATTTTGTGTTAGAATATCTATATGAATCTTGTGGACCTTAAGCCAATGATAAAAAAAAAAGTCTCTTATTGGTGTGTACACTATATCAAAATCACTTAATAATTAAAATTTACACTTCAATTTTGCATTGAAAGCCACATGTTTTACTTTTCAATTAAATAATCACTTAAAATTTACACACTTTAATTTTACATTGATTGTGAGCCACATATTTTACTTTTCAATTAAAAAACAGAAGATATAAAATTTAATTTTTGATAATCTGGAAAATGTAAAATTTATTTTGAAATGAATATTGTAAATAATAAAAAAAGTACTCCCTCCGTCCCTAAATGGATTACAAATTTTTTCTCTCCTCTCGATAACTTTTGTTTGTTTACGCGATTTCATTAAGTAGTTGATAAAATAAAATATTCTTGTCACCTCTTGTTTTGTAGAACTTTTCACGTAGTTTTTTAATATGTAATTTTTATATCTTATTGATATACCAATTTGTAAATAAAATGATTTTAAAAAGTAGGAAATTTTACTCCGTAACCTACAATTTGTAATCAAATTGGGGACTGAGGGAGTATAACTGAATATAGTACGTAATTTGAATTGATTTTGTTTTTGAAAATATTAAAAAAAAAGTTGACCTAATATGTACTCCATCCGTCCTAAAATTAACTTCTCATTTGACTTTTCACGATCTCTAATGTGACACTTTGACCATTAATATCTCAATTTTTATATAAATATATTTTATAAAAATTATATATTTCAAAACTATGTTCCAAAATGAATCTATTGCTAATAAATTTATATAAAAATTCCATGTTTTTTTTCCGTAATATACGGTCAAAGTTTAAAAAGTTTGACTAGAAAAGTCAAACTGGGAAGTTAATTTTAAGACGGAGGGCGTAAAAAAGAAAGTGGAGTTGGTTGACTCTCTTATTTTTGTGGTAATAACCACTCCGTATGGTGGTACTTTTCTAAAGCTTTTCTCTTGGGACCATGCTACACTTACACCAACAAATATACCTCATTTGTACACCACAGGTTTGCACAAACATTTCGATGGTTTACACTGACACAAGTGTTGGTGCGTTAATAAAAATTCACACGGACACAAATGTTGGTGCGTTTAACAAAAATTTGTTTTACACCAACACAAAATGTTGATGCAGAACTGCGGGGTACAAATTGGGGTACAAATCTTGGGGTACACATAGCATAATCCTTTCTCTTGTTCTCCCTCCAATGGCGTTTTGAAGGGCTAGCATTAAGCAACATGGGGAATCTTGAACTTCAACCAACCAAACTATACTATGTGGCCTATTGTACATTTGTACAGTACATCATCATGGATCCTACGTATGCTTCTTTTATGGTAAGTACAGCTGTTGTACATTCACTTTTAGTCCCACCATGGCCCAATGCCAGGAGTGAGCATTTTAGCCGAACCGATCGTCAAACAGATGTTTAAAAATCAAACTGATCGAAAATTCGATTTTAGCTTCGGTTTTGGTTATCAAGTCTAAATAATATTGGTTTATTCAGTTTATCAGTTCGGTCTTCGGTTATAGGATTTAATGACAAAACCGACTGAAAAATTGATTTCAAAGCTTAGCATATACTCCCTCCGTCTCATAAAACCTTTCCCCTTTCTTTTTTTATTCGTCCCACAAAACATTTCTCATTTTTATTAAAAAGTCACTTTAACCCCTTACTTTTTTCATACCATAAGTCATAACTATCACATCATACCTTTTTACTAATAATCTATCCATCAACTCATACTTTTACCCATCACATCAAAGGACATTTTTGGAAATTCAATACCAAAATACACTCCCCTTAAATCCCTCCTACAAAGCAAAACTCCCATGTTTCATGGGACGGAGGGAGAATATAAAAGCCCAACCCCATAAGTTAGCCCAGCCCATAGGTATGTAACTATCAAAATGAAACCCAAAGACGTAACGATCAACTTGGAGAACTAAGATTACATTTTTCAAAAGAGGCAAACCTTCTAGTTGGGGATGAGCATGGTACGGTATTTAGTTCGTACTGATATCGTATCAAATATTTTGGTTTGGCATAGAATTTTATATCGAACTAATTCCAATCCTGAAATATTGGTTCGGGATGGATCAGTATCGTTTTCGGTATAAATCGAGATGAATGCATACATACCTACTTTTTACCTTAAAATGTAACAATGCCCCTTTTATTTTTAAAAATTGAAAGTAAATTTAAATAAAAAACATAAAAAATGTTAAAGGAAAGAGAATATTTGGTAGAATATTGGGAGATATTTGTGTATATATTGTTTTGGTAGTTTTCCTTGTATAGAGGTTCTTTCCTTTTCCTTGTCCTTGACTGATTAGGAGTCTCAACTTGTGAGATCCTATATATATGTTCTTATTGTAAAATGTAGAGACAAGAGAGTAATTCAGAAAATTTCCTCCAAAATAATTCTTTCATGGTATCAGAGCCAAAACTCTAGAAATTTTTCTACGACTACTGTTCACGATCGCCCGGCATGGCGTCCATCGATCGTTGCTCAGTTTTAGTCAGTTGTTGCTGTTGCCGGATAACGGAACGGTCGACCGTTGCTCTAGAACGGTCGAGCACGTCGACCGTCCCGTCGGCAGATTGTTTGATTGATGCTGCTGTTGATTCTTCCGCCAACGCCGTACGCCACTCTGCTACCGCCATGGCCGATGAACAACCAAGGAAGATGTTTTTCTCGCTATCATCGTGTGTTTCTAGTTTGAAGCTTTCAGGTATTCCTGTATCACCGCGGTGGATTATAGATACTGGGGCATCAAATCATATGACTGGTGATATTTCGTTATTGTATGATGTTGTGGGAATATCACCGTGTGAGATTGGTTTGCCCAATGGGAAAAGAATTGTTTCTGTCCAATCGGGGAAGATTAATTTGACAGAAAAATTAATTCTACATGATGTTTTATATGTCCCCACTTTGAGTTGCCATTTAATCTCTGTGTCACAATTGACAAGGGATTCGAATTGTGAGGCAC